TTGTTTTTGGACAGGCAGAGTTAGAAAATGAGAGAGACAGAGAGAAAGGTCTTCCTTCCGTTGGTTCATCCCAAAAATGGCTGCTATGGCCAGCACACTGCGCTGATCCGAAGCCAGATGCCAGGTGCTTCCTCCTGGTCTCCCATGCAGGTGCAGGGTCCAGGCACTTGGGCCATCCTTCACTGCCCTCCCAGGCCACAGCAGAGAGCTGGACTGGAAGAGAAGCAACCGGGACAGAATCCAGCGCCCCAACTGGGACTAGAACCCAGGTTGCCGGTGCCGCAGGCGGAGGATTAGCCAAGTGAGCCGCAGCACCGGCCTGGGCTGTTTTGAATATAACTGCCTCACAGTATATCTTGAAGTCTGGTATTGTGATGGCTCCGGTTTCATTTTTGTTGCATAAGATTGCTTTAGCTATTCCAGGTCTCCTGTTCCTCAATATGAATTTCAGCATCATTTTTTCTAGATCTGAGAAGAATGTCTTTGGTGTTTTCATTCGTATAGCATTGAATCTGTAAACTACTTTCAGAACAATGGACATTTTGATGATATTGATTCTTCCAATCCCTGAACATGGAACACTGTTTCTGTTGTTATTATTTTTTTTTTGTATTTTCTTCTATTTCATTCTTTTATGTTTTGTAATTCTCAACATAGAGATGTTTGACATCCTTGGTTAAATTTATTCCAAGATACTTGATTGTTTTGGTGGCTATTGTGAATGGGACTGATCTTCAAATTTATTCCTCAGCCATGGTATTGTCTGTGTATACAAGGTTGTTGATTTCTGTGTACTGACTTTTGTATCCTGCTACTTTACCAAACTCTTCTATGAGCTGCACTAATCTCTTAGTGGAGTCTTGTGGATCCCCTATATATAGAATAGTATCATCTACAAATAGGTATATTTTGACTTCTTCCTTGCCAAATTTTATCTCTTTGATTTTTTTGTGTGTGTCTAATAGCTCTGGCTAAAACTTCCAGGACTATATTGAATAGCAATGGTGAGAGTGGACATCCCTGTCTGGTACCAGATCTCAGTGGAAATATCTCCAAGTTTGCCCCATGCAACACGATGCCGGCCATTGGTTTGTCATAAATTGCCTTGACTATGTTGAAGAATGTTCCTTCTAAACCTAATTTGCTTAGCGATTTCATCATGAATGGGTGTTTTATTTTGTCAAATGCTTTCTCTGCATCTAGTGAGATAATCATATGGTTTCTGTTCCACAATTTCTTAATGTGATGTATCACACTGATTGATTTTCAAATGCTGAACCATTCTATTAGCATAGAATATTTTTTCCAACCTTTCACTTTCATTCTGTGTACATCTTTTGTTAGTAAGGTGTGTTTCTAGCAAGCAGCATTAGATAGTTGTTTTTTTTGTTGTTGTGTTTTTTTTTTTTTTTTTTTGACAGGCAGAGTTAGACAGTGAGAGAGAGAGACAGAGAGAAAGGTCTTCCTTTCATTGGTTCACCCCAAAAATGGCTGCTACAGCCGGCGTGCCGCGCCAATCCGAAGCCAGGAGCCAGGTGCTTTCTCCTGGTCTCCCAAGCGGGTGCAGGGCCCAAGTATTTGGGCCATCCTTCACTGCCTTCCTGGGCTGCAGCAGAGAGCTGGACTGGAAGAAGAGCAACCGGGACAGAATCCAGCGCCCCAACCGGGACTAGAACCCAGGGTGCCAGCACCACAGGCAGAGGATTAGCCTAGTGAGCCACAGCACCGGCAGGGTTTTCTTTTTTAATCAATTAAGCTAGTCTATGTCTTTTAACTGAGAAGTAGAGACCATTTACATTCAGTGTGACTATTGTTAAATGTTGTCTTTTCTCTGCCATGTTTCCTTAAATAGAGCTGTTTATGCATTTTGGACTTGGTACTTCTGCTGGGTCATTTTCTACATTCATCTTCTTTGTAGTGAAGTTCCTACTTCTGCGTACAGTACATCCTTGAGCCAAAGTTGTAGGGCTGGGCAGGAAGATACAAATTCTTTCAATTTCTGTTGTGGAAAATCCTTGTTTCTCCTTTATTCATAAATGAGAATTTTGCAGGATACAGTATTCTGGGTTGACAGTTTTTTTCTGTTGGGACTTGGAATATATCTCTCCATTATCTCCTTGACTGTAGCGTTTGCAGTGAGAAGTTTGGGGTGAGCCTAATTGGATTACCTCTGAATGTGATCTTGGGCACATTTTAGGATCTGTCCTTTATGTTTCACTGAGCTAAGTGTTGCCACAATATGTCCTCATGAATTCTTTTTCTAGTTGTGTCTATTGGGAGTTCTGTGTATTTCTTGTACTTGGATGTTTCTTTCAATCTACCTATTGTAAAAGTTTTCTGATATAATTTCATTAAGAAGGCAGTCTTTTTTTTTTTTTGACAGGCAGAGTGGACAGTGAGAGAGAGAGAGAGAGAGAAAGGTCTTCCTTTGCCGTTGGTTCACCCTCCAATGGCCGCCACGGCCGGCGCGCTGCGGCCGGCGCACCGCACCGATCCGATGGCAGGAGCCAGGAGCCAGGTGCTTTTCCTGGTCTCCCATGGGGTGCAGGGCCCAAGCACCTGGGCCATCCTCCACTGCACTCCCAGGCCACAGCAGAGGGCTGGCCTGGAAGAGGGGCAACCGGGACAGAATCCGGTGCCCCGACCGGGACTAGAACCCGGTGTGCCGGCGCCGCTAGGCGGAGGATTAGCCTAGTGAGCCGCGGCGCCGGCCAAGAAGGCAGTCTTAATCCGTTCTCTCTTTCCATGCCTTCTGGAACTCCTATGATCCATAGATTGGATCACTTGATAGAATCTTGTAAATCTCCAACCATGATTTTTAATTTTCTAATTTCTTCTTCTTGTGTTGGGTCTGATAGTATTATTTCTAGAAGTTTGTCTTCTAGTTCTGATATTCGTTCTACTATCTCATCTGTTTTTTATCTGGTCAACTGAATTTTTGATTTCCAGTATTTCCCTTTGGCTTCTCTTTGAATCTCAATTTCTTGGAAATGCTTTTCATTCAGTTCTTGAATCTGTTTCTGATTGCTTCTAAGTAATCAGATTATTAATTTTCTGAAGTCCTTTTCTGGCTTGGTTTCAATTTCTTCTTCTTAAGCCTCCTTTATTGAAGATTTAGATTGATCCATTGGCGAGTTCATAAATTCTTCCTTATTCTGATTCGGGATTTTTCCTTTGTTCTTTGTCAATTTTGTTTGGTTTCTGATTGGTTTTATTTTTAAATTTATTTCCCTATGCTATGTGTCTGTGCCTGTAGCAAGTGGAAGCATGCATTACCCCCTGGAGCTCTGTTTGTTTCTGGGTCCTTATGGACTGGTTCTGAACAAAACTTAGTATACCAGGGCTTTGGTATACTAAGCCCCACCTCCTGGGGCTGGACTACTCCTTTGTTCATAGAACTAGCTTGGGTTTTTGTTGTTCAGAATTATTCATTAATGTACAACTTGTGTGATGGCTGGGAATTCACTCTTAATTGTTGTGATCCTTGTTCCCATGTGGGATGTGTTGTGAGGTGGCCCCCTCAATTGATGGGTTTGTGTGCAGGAGGCAAAAGCAGCAGCCCACTGCCTACACTCGAAAATGTAAACAATCAATATGGCTACTCCCCACTGGCTGTAGCTCTGGCTGGGGAGAGGAGGAAGACATCGACAGATTGTGGTGTGTTCAATATTTCTGCCTGTCATCCAGAATTTCTCCTTCTTCCCATTTAGAGCTCCAAGTGCTATTCACCAAATTTCCCCACTCATCACTCTGCATCTCATCTCTCTCACCTCTCATTTGGTTCTCTGAAGGGGTGGCAACCATCTCCTTGCTGGGTCCCTACACCACTCCTTCTCCGCACTTCAGGTACCTCTCTGTTTCCCCTGGCATGGACCCAGGCAGTCTCTGGTGGACTCCCAGGCCACTCCGGACAAATTTTTCATGATTCTACCACCATCTTGAATCCCCTCTACTTGTTAATTATCAATTTTGGGGGCCGGCACTGTGGCGCAGCAGGTTAATGCCCTGGCCTGAAGCGCCGACATCCCATATGGGTGCTGGTTCGAGACCCGGCTGCTCCTCTTCAGATCCAGCAATCTGCTATGGCCTGGGAAAGCAGTAGAAGATGGCCCAAGTCCTTTGGCCCTTGCACCCATGTGGGAAACCTGGAAGAAGCTCCTGGTTCCTGGCTTTTGAATGGCGCAGCTCCAGATGTTATGGCCAACTGGGGAGAGAACCATCCAATTGAAGATCTCTCTCTCTCTCTCTCTCTCTCTCTCTCTCTCTGCCTCTCTGTGCTATGCCTCTCTTCTCGCTGTGTAATTCTGACTTTCAAATAAATAAATAAATAAGTCTTAAAAAAAATATCCATTTTTCCCTGCATGACTCGGAATGTCCCACTGCTATACTACCATATTGCTCCATCCCAGTCCATCATTTTAAATGAAGCCATTAATCATTAAGGGTGGTACAGGTAACCAAACACAATTTTGCTTCAATCTAAAAATAGTTTCCTATAAATAAGGCACTGTTTATAGTTCATTTATTAAGATTTTTGTGGCTACATTTTTCCTCTCCAAAACAGCCTCATTCTTCTATTCTGCTGTTTGTTTGCCTCATCTGCACTTTGCAGATAATACTTACTTTACAGTGTGTTCTTTTAGTTCAGAACCAGTCTGCAATTTTAGTGAGAGAAAATTCATGGATTTCTTTTTAATTTAAACAAGCTATTATAATTCTCATGGTCCCATATTCAATTTTACCTGCTGGCAAAATTACAAAATAACATTCTACCTTATAACATTAGTTTCTTCAGGTCAAACAGTTCAGTGCTCTGGGAACTTTCATTATTAAGGACTTTAGGTTAACTAATTGAAATATCCAAAAAATAATGTCTATATCGATGAATGTATGCACCAAAAATCAGATGATCCATTAAACAGAAAAAAAAAAAAAAACTGTAACAACATTTTTTTGCTTTGTTCAGCTGTCATCTTACCATTACGTAGTTTATAGCATACCTTTGTAGAATGCCATTTTCCTGGGGTATTACACCATTGATAGCTGCCTGCAAACAAGAAACAGAGGGCCATTTAAAGAAACTGATAAATACTATACAGTAAAGCAAGTATACTTTAAAACTTAATTTAATGAGAATATTAAATGTCTCCTTAATGATGCAAAATACTGATGACTAAATTTTCTTTACTTCTCTTTAAAACCGTATTTTAGAAAATTTTTAGTAATGTGTTTGGCTTTCAAGATCCCCAAACCCTGAAGCATAAAAAGCCTAATTCCACAGTCCTCATTCAAGCAAATTACCCACAAAACAAATTACCCACAAAACATATCTTTAACAATGTCAAAACAAATAAAATCTGTACCTCAAACTTTGTAACATTTTTTCCTTCAGAATGAGAAGATATAAAATCACAATGAAAAACTCTATAATACAAGAGTTAGCTTAAAAATTAAATTCATTCTTTCATGTTATACTTTTTTGTATTTTATTTAAAGTATAAAAGTTTCATATATGTCATATATGCATGTTTAGGAACAACAGTGATACTTCCCATCCTACCCTCCCTCCTGCCCACTCTCCAACCTTTTTCCTCCTCCTCCCTGTATTCCCACTCTCAATTTTTTTTTTTTTTTTTTTTGACAGGCAGAGTGGACAGTGAGAGAGAGAGACAGAGAGAAAGGTCTTCCTTTGCCGTTGGTTCACCCTCCAATGGCCGCCGCGGCCGGTGCACTGCAGCCGGCGCACCGCGCTGATCCGATGGCAGGAGCCAGGAGCCAGGTGCTTTTCCTGGTCTCCCATGAGGTGCAGGGCCCAAGCACCTGGACCATCCTCCACTGCACTCCCTGGCCACAGCAGAGGGCTGGCCTGGAAGAGGGGCAACCGGGCCCACTCTCAATTTTTACAAAGATCTCTTTTCAAGTTTATTCTCATAAGGCTAAACCTACACCAAAAGTTCAACAAATAGTATGAAGAAAAAACACTCTTCCTTAAAATAGAGACAAGGGCTATAACAATCATTGAATCTCAAAATATCCATTTCACTCCAATATATTACATTTTAGGTATTCCATTAGTTATCCCAGATCAGAGGAAACATATCGGTACTTTAGGGACTGGCGTAATCCAATAAGTATAATGGTTTCCACTTGCATCCATTTTGTTGCAAAAGACAAGATTTCATATTTTTTTTCCAGCTGAGTAGTAATCCAGGGTATATATACCATAACTCCTTTATCCAGTCATCAGTTCACACACATCTGGATTGATGCCATATCTTAGCTACTGTGAACTGAGCTGCAATAAACATTGGGGTGCACATTAGTCTTTCAAACGCTCATTTCTTTTCGTTTGAGTAAATTCCCAAGAGTGGGATGGCTGGATTATATGGTAGGTCTTCCACAGTGGCTGCACCAGTTTACATCTCCACCAACAGTTCATTAGGTACCTTTTCCCCACATCCTAGCCAGCATTTATTGTTTATTGATTTTTGTATGAGAGTTATTCTAACTGGGATGAGGTAAAACCTCATTGTGGTTTTGATTTGCATTTCTGTGATGGCTAGCGACCCTGAGCATTTTTTCAAGTGTCTGTTGTCCATATAAATTTCCTCTCTTGAAAAATGCATCTTCAAGTCCTTTGTCCATATCTTAACTAAGTTGTTTGTTTTGTTGTTCCTGATTCTCTTGAACTTGTTAAACATTCTGGATATTAACCCTTTATCAGTTGCATAGTTTGAAAATATTCTCTCCCATTCTGTCAGTTGCCTTTTCACTTTGCTGAGTGTTTCTTTTGCAGTGCAGCCGATTCTCAGCTTGATGTAATACCATTTGTCCAGTTCAGCTTTGATAGCCTATGCTTCTGGAGGTCTCTTCCAAGAATCCTTTGCCTATGACAATGTATTCTAGAGTTTACACAATGTTCCCTAAATGTTTGATGGTATCAGGTCACAGATTTAGGTCTTTGATCCATTTTGAGTGGATTTTTGTATAAGGTGTAAAGTAGTCTTGTTTTAACCTCTGCATGTGGAGATACAGTTTTACCAGCATCATTTGTTGAAGCAGCTATCCTTGCTCCAGGGATTGATTACAGCTCCTTTTCCACAGTTGGTTGTGCATGCATTAGGATGCCTTCTGGAGACTCTATTAACATTTACTTTAAACAGCCAGGAGCACTGTAATGAGGTGCAGTTACACTTATTCCTGTTGAATTGATCCCTTAATCATTAGATAGTGCCCTTCTTGATCTCTTTTAGCAGTTTTTGTGTTAAAGTCTATTTTGTCTGATATTAGGATGGACACACATGCACTTCTGTGCTTTGTTAGCATGGAATATCTTTTTCCATCATTTCACTTTCAGTCTGCGTGTATCTCTGTTGGTGAGGTGTGCTTCTTATACACAGCTAATAGATTGGTCTTGATTTTTAATCCATTCAGCCAGTCTGTATCTTTTAATTGGAGAGTTCTGGCCATTTACATTCAATGTTACTACTGATAAGTAACAACTTTGCCTTGCCATTTTTCCATAAATATTCCTATTGTTTCAATTCCTTTTGTACTTTTCTTGGGAGATATTCTGCCTTCACATGCTTTCATAATCGCTATCCTTCTATGTTTTTATGTGTAGCACATACTTCAGTTTCTTTTCTAAGGCTTGATGAATGGTGACAAATTCTCTTGATTTCTGTTTTTAATGGAAGGTCTTTATTTCACTTTCATTCATAAATGAGAGCTTTGCAGGGTAAAGTATTCTGAGTTAACAGTTTTTTTTCTTGTAAGACTTGGACTATGTCTCTCCATCGTCCCCTAACCTGTAGAATTTCTGATACCAAGTGAGCTGTGAGTCCAATTGGAGATCTTCTGAAAGTAATCTGGCATATCTCTCGTATACATTTTATATCTCTTCTTTATATTTTACCACAGAAAGTCTGACTACAATGTGTCACGGTGAAGATCTTTTCTGCTCATGTCTAATAAAAGTCCTATGTGCTTCCTATATTTGGACATCCCTTTCTTTCTCCAAATTGGGAAAGTTTTCTGTAATTATTTCACTGAATAGGCCTTCAAATCCATCCTCTCTTTCCACACCTTCAGGAACTCCTAAGACCCATATGTTGGGTCATTTGATGGTATCCCATAAATCTCCAACATTGTTTTAATTTTTCTAATTTCTTCTTTTTTTTTAGTCTGACTAAAAAATTTCCAAAGATTTTTCTTTTATTTTTAAAGATTTCTTTATTTATTTGAAAGTCAGAGTTACACAGAGAGAGGAGAGGCAGAGAGAAAGAGAGACGAGGTCTTCCATCCAATGGTTCACTCCCCAATTGGCCACAACAGCCGGAGATGTGCCGATCCAAAGCCAGGATCGAGGAGCTTCTTCTGGGTCTCCGACATGGGTGCAGGGACCGAAGGACTTGGGCCATCTTCTACTGCTTTCCCAGGCTATAGCAGAGAGCTGGATTGGAAGTGAAGCTGCCGGGTCTTAAACCAACACCCATATGGAATGCCAGCGCTTAAGGCCAGGGCATTAACCTGCTGCGCCACAGCACCAGCCCCCAAAGATTTTTCTTATAGCTCGGATATTATTTCTTCTGTCTCACCAAGTCTGTTATGAAGGCTCTACATTGTATGTTTTATCTGATCTATTGAATTCTTCATTTCTAATATTTACTTTCATTGCTCTTAAAATCTCAATTTCATGGGAAAAAATTAAGAATACAAATAAAAATACGCTTTTATATACAATATATTATATATACATAATATATACAAAAGTTAGCTTTTATTTAAGGAATACAAACTTCACGCATTTCATAAGTACAACTTTAGAAATATAGTGATTTTTCCTACACACACTCCCAACTCCCTCCTCCCCCTCCCCTTTCTAGGCACCTTCTCCACTAAGACACATTTTCAATTAATTTTATACACAGAAGACCAACTCTATACTAAGTAAAGAGTTCAACAATTTGTATGGGGGAGGGACCGTTTCTCAACGGTCCAAACAAGGGCTTTTCAAAGTCACTGAATCTTGGAGTTCATTTCACTTTTTTTAGAAACTTAATTAATTTTAAAGAAGCATCCAAGAATGATACATCCTTTGCAAGCATTTAGACATATCCATTACTTATTAGACATAAGAATATCTTCCACTTAATACATTAAAACAAAGTAAGTACTTGAGCACAAGTTTTATCATTAATTAAGAAAGCACCTAGGAAAACAAGCAATGGAGTCATAGGCATAACTAAAACTTCTGGGAAATAAGAATATCCTCCACTTACTAAACTAAAAGAAAATAAATCTTTAAGAACAAATTTTAGGCCAGTGCCATGGCTCACTTGGCTAATCCTCCACCTGCGGCGCTGGCACCCCGGGTTCTCGTCCCGGTTGGGGAGCTGGATTCTGTCCTAGTTGCTCCTCTTCCAGTCCAGCTCTCTGCTGCAGCCCAGGAAGACAGTGGAGGATGGCCCAAGTGCTTGGGCCCTGCACCCGCACAGGAGACCAGGAGGAAGCACCTGGCTCTTGGCTTCGGATTGGCGCAGTGCGCCGGCTGTAGCGGCCATTTGGGGGGTGAACCAACGGAAAAGGAAGACCTTTCTCTCTCTCTCTCTCTCTCTGTCTAACTCTGCCTGTCAAAAAAAGGGGGAAGGGGAAGGGAAGGGAAGAGGTAGGGAGTGGAGGGGAGGGGAGAAAAAGAACAAATTTTATTGTTAACTCTCATAATACAATTCTTTGAGGACAGAATTCCTGCATGGGAAGTTAGTGCACAGTGACTCCTGTTGTTAATTTAACAATTAACACTCTTAGGTGATCACATGAGGCTCTTGTCATGAGCTGCCTAGGCTATGGAAGCCTTTTGAATACACAAACTCCATCAGTATTTAGACAAGGCCTTAAGCAAAGTGGAAATTCTCCCCTCCCTTCAGAGAAAAGTAGAGATTTCCTTATATAAACCATTTCTGAAATTGGTCTTCAAGCTTGTAAGCCAGCCAGCAGTCAGAACAGAGCATAAGTAAATGACCTGGCATGGATGTTTTTGAAGGCTAC